ATTTAAAAAAATTCTACACAGATCTGCACACACAATGATAATGTATGGTTTGTTTTTGGGATGACTATGTAAATGTACTTCTTAAAATCCCAATAAATTAATAAATACATCACAAAAAATCCCAAACTCTGCAGTAGATATGTCTTCTATAAAGAAAAGCTGTGCATTGCATTTAAATTACAAATCTAAATTCCAGAGTTTACTCACCCAGCTTTTCAAGGATTAGCACAGCATTAATATTCAGTATGGTTTGTTAGAAGTTTATTTCAGGTTCCTTTGTAATATACTGTAATTATTATTTTGATGACTCATAAAATGTGGATAACATTTCAATGCACTTTTAATGTAGAGAATTATAAATTCATTGCTAAATTTGAATCTTTAACCTATATCACTTAGAGAATGTTAAACCTTTTAAAAAGGACTAAGCACCAATCTTAAAAACATTGTTACAATTCCTTTACTTAGAATATTGGAGTAAGATTGTTTATTCAAGGAAAAAACCTTGCTTCATGTTTACAGTAAACCTCAGACTAGAATTAACATTTAAATGTCAACATTAGTAACAGAAGCAGTACTTGAAAACCACCTATTTCATTTATTGCTCCTGGTTAAATAGAATTTGCCAGAAGCTTCCAAAGGTGATAGTGCAATTAAAACAATAAAATTAATTTTTTTAAACAGTAGTTTTAAAGGAATGGTGAAACAATAGTGCCATTTTAAAACTATATTTACATTCACACAAATGGCAATGGGACAATAAAGAAGTAGGGTATTCAAAGCATACATCTGATAGTCTTAGATACTACTTATACTTGTATAATCTATAAGTGTACAAGATACAAACCATTAGATTAAAGATAAATGAATAAGAAAACTTTTTAACTATTAAAAATTACATAATGGTAGAATAATATATACTGGTTTGATAATTGGTATCCATGTACTGAAGAAAATAGAAAACTCTACTTTTTGGTGGTATAACTTTTGAGAAAACATACAGCAAAGACTAGATGAATATTTTTACTATGGATTTCATAGATATGTTATGTCCCTCATAATTGAACATGGCTAAATTTGTTGGATCCGAGCCAATCTGCCATTTAAAACACACTATGTGCAAAGGTCAGAATGCAAGAGTCACATTCTGTCTACATTGTATAGAGTGACTGTTTTGCCACTTTCTTCTTAGGAATAAGCAAATAGCCATTATTAACATTGATTCTGATTAAAGCTATTTGTGATGTTAACAACATACAGTATATACAACAGCCAAACAAAATTCCCAATGTATTTTAAATTGAAAAATATAAACATTAGTAACTTACCTATTTAATGTCAAGTGATTGTAACTATTTTTAATTATATGTTTTGTTTTGCATAACCTCCCTTTACACACAGGTAAAGATGAAAGCCCTTTGAATATGGGCTCAATTAAAAATACAGTCTACATTTTCTAGGAAAGACTTCCTTCCTATGAAGAATCCAGTTCTCCTACCTAGAATCCCAGAAACACAACTCCTAAATATACCTCTTGCTTTTGAAAATATGACATACGATGAATGCATTTCTTTGCTTTGTCTGCTATTCCTCAAATGTTTATATCTAAGGAATATTAGGAATATTGCACCTGCTTTAATTTTTAATATGCTGTATTTCTGTCAATTAAATGATTAAACAGAGACCCTTCTTTCACTAAGCAAGCACAGGGATGTGTTTTTGTATGTCTTAAAAATGTTTAGCAAGATGTAAAGAAAATATTCTAAAACATGTGAGAACTGTTATAGGAAATTGCTAATTGGTAATCAAAAATATAAGTACTTTTCTTATTTTGTCTGAGTCTGGAGTGATGGACTGTAATTCATGTAATCACTGAATAAGGTATTTAACATTTTCTTGAGCAATATCAGAAACCTTTTTTGTAAACAATTGCCAGTTTGTAAGTATAATTCCCATTTGCCTCTGGGACTACAAATAAATAATTTGGGAAATTTAAAATATAAAAAAATACAGAAAAATGTATAATTTTGCATTATGCCCTTTCCCTCATAATTTTACTGTCAAATTTCATGTTTTGTAGACACCTCTTAATATAACAATTATATCTACCCCTTACACAAGTTAAAACTTAAATGATTCATTCATATTCTTTGAATTACTTCTGTTTTAATTATTATAACCCCCATATATGTGTGTAAATCACTTCAAGAAGGGCTGACTTGTTTTTTCCAAAAGAAAATTACCCCCCCTCCCCGTATCATGTCAGTGCTTATTAATCACTAGACTCATAAAAATACATGCTACAAGATTTTATTTCTGATCTCATAGCTGTTACAGGCAGATTACTTGCAATACTTATTTTGTGGTAATGCATATCTTCTCCTTTGCATTTCAAAGGTCTCCTCCAAATGATTGTTTTACAAAACTATCAAGAGGTTATCTAAATTCTGCCATCAAATATTACACACTTTCATAAGGTAGTGATCATGGAGTTTCTTTCAGCCTATCTAATGTTCATTCCATCATAGGAACTAAACTACAATCAAAATAAGCAGATTTTATTAAATAATTTAGAGCATCGAAGTTTGACTGCATTTTTACAGAAGTTAATTTCAAGTTGATCAGTATTGAAGTGGCATTACTTAAACCGTGTTAATGTATTATATAGATAGATCCAAATTATACTTTTATTTGAAATATGTTAAATTGTTGCAAAATATATTCTTGGTGAAATCTTTTGATAGTTGTTGCAATAAGACTTTCTTTTATGACAACTTGTAGTTTTTCTGAGGGGCTGAATTTTAAGAACTAATATCACATAGAGGAAAATCTATTTTTAAAAACATAATAAATTACATAATGAGTATCCTAAAGTACAGTCACTTTCTTAAGAAAATCTTTCCAAACTGCTAACAAACTAGGAGAAAACATTGTTTCTAATTTTTTGTTGCAATGTAAGTTTTTCAAGCATGGGCATGTTAATTCCCAAAACCATATTATGTTTGCTATACTATTACAAAAAGAGAGAGATATTTATGTGCTAATATTACCTATCAGGGAAATTATGAAAAAAATTGCTTTTATACCATGATTTTTTTTGGGGTCAAGCTTAACAAAATAATTGAGGATGCTGTTTAAATTAGATGTCATTTTCCTGACAGGAATGAAGGGGGCCTGGGATACTGTATCTCTCAGTTTCAAATAATTTGTGGGTTTTTAGAACTTCAGGCCATTAAATCCTTTATTCCCAAACAAAGTAGTTGGTGTGCACCTGCAATTTTCAGATTATTTTACAAGTCCAAAAAGCAATCAAAATTGTCTTGCCAATATGTCATGTAATGTAAACAGTTCTACATTCTAAATTGTATTCTGTCATTATAGAACTTTTGTTTTGAAGGGTGATTTAACTGAAATGGAACTATTCTAAATCTTTTAAGGCATCCTCTTTTTAATAACAAAACTCTGTTATATATCCTTTTGAAGCAATTTTTGGAAGATTACAGACTTAAAGAGCTCTATGTTAATAAAATGTTTAGCTAGGGCCTATCTCTGTAAGAAATAATCTTCATTGCTCCTTTCCCCCTGTTCTTCCTTTTCTATCTACATAATTTTATTTAAAACTTTGAAGGAGAGAAAGAGCCTGACCTAAGATATCTTGCGCACAAACTGCATTGCATTCTCGGATATCCCAAGGGGCAAGAGTAGTGCACAGCCCCCCTCCTCTTCACAAGACATGCATATGTGCACAGGTTTTATTATTTATTTAGCAATTTATAAAATGCATCCAACCCTACACTTTCTGTGTATACGTAATAACACTCAGAACAATACATATAATAGTACTGATGTAAACAAATTCTAAAATGTTACTAAGCTAGTCTTACAAAATCATGAAAATTTACCAGCCCATGTGCAAATTCTGCTTGCCTGCCCTTTTGAATGATAATGAAAATAAATCAGTGATAGGTTTCTGGGAAAAAAGGAAAATTATTACTGGCCTTAGGGCACTTGATGGAGCAGAATTTTGCAAGGCTGTGTTTAATCTCTCTACACACTCAACAACCACCACAATTAGTTCCTTCTGCTGAAGCCATACCTGCTTACAAAGGAGAATTGAAAAGCCGAAGATTTTCCTTGCTGCTGACCACCTCTCCCGCCCCTCCCCCACAGTTTCTCTCTGCTTTTTTGGAATAGACAGCAGGTGAATTTACATTAAAAACAAAACCAAACCAGCAACAAATATACTATCTTTAAGTAAATGTAGAGAACAGTTGTACTCAAAATGGTTTTTGAGGAGGGCCTGTCTTGCATCAGATTGTCATATTTTCTATTTAACACCATGTTCACAATAGTGGCATTAACTGCCAAGATGGAGGTGCACCCACATTGCAAAAGTTTTTTTTTTTTGGGGGGGGGGCAAAAGCCCAGAATTAATTACAATTTATTATCTGTATTACGTATTAGTTCATTAGTCACACTGAGAGGAAAATAAACAAGAGAGCACAGATTGTGTGCATGGGGGTGGGATGTAAGGGCAGCAGAAATAAGAAAGAATGAGTCCTGCAGTCACACTGAGGACAGCAATAAGGTAGTAGAAAGATTTTTTTGGGAGAAGCTGGGGGTGGATGGGGAATTTATTAGTTCAGCAGCCCTACCGAGGGGGATGTGAAAGGGCCTGCGGCTGCACACAGGTCATTAGACGGGAACAGGGGTAACCCCAGACTTGGGCCTGCCAGGCGGTGGTGTGTTGGCCCTTGCTCCAGTGGTGAGGGGCGGCCGCCCGGGCGGAGGAAGGGGGTCACTCGGAGTCGCAGGCTAGGCCGCAGGCCTTGGCCGGCCACCCCGGCTGGAGAGATATGGGAGTCTTCCGGCTGGCGCGCGCTCTAGTAAGCTCCTGGGCTCGCACGCGCGCAGGCCACGAGGGGGGCCTGCTTCTCTCCCTATCCTGAGCCAGCCTCGCGCACGCGCTCTATTTGGATAGTGGTTAGAACCGTTGGAGGGTCAGAACTCCGCCGTCGCTCACGTTCCTCTGGCGGCCCATGAGGCACTGCGAGATAGCCCGGACCCAGGCCTTCGCCACAGGGAGGTACAGCGCGCCTGCGCGCGGGCCTTGCTGGGCTGCCTGCCTGCCTGCCTGCCTGCCGTCGTCCTCAGTGTGCTGCCCCTGTGTGCGTGCGGGACTGACTGATACAGCCCGGGTGGGGGCGAGGAGACACTCCGCCCGCGGACATGGGTCCTAAATCACTGCCGTGGCGGCAGCGGCGGCGGCTGAGTGCCTGAGGGGCAGCCCCGGCCGGGGGAGGGAGCGAGGCAGGGTCGCTGCTGTGTTGACGGTATTTTTAACCCTTAGATGGTCTCCAGCGAGCCGCTACTACTGCCTGTGTCACTGGAGGGCGAGTTCTCCAATAGCATGAAGGAGATGATCGGTGGCTGCTGCGTGTGCTCCGACGAGAGGGGCTGGGCCGAGAACCCGCTGGTATACTGCGACGGGCACGGCTGCAATGTCGCAGTGCATCAAGGTGAGTGACTGTCCGGCCTACAGGCAGTCTCCTGCTTCAGGCCCCCTGTCTCCCACCTGAGACCCTCCCTGACCTGCTCTCATCACAGCCCCCCAACCTCCCTGCTTCCTGCCTCCCTCAGCCACGGTTTCCCACAGCCTCTTTACCATTTCTTCCTGATACGAGCACCTTCCCGCCCCTCCCCCCACTGTACGTTCACCTGCGCGCTCGCTTCTAGTCCCACCCGACCAACCTGCCCCGCTTTCTTCCAAAACTGCTTTCTCGCTTACATTCCTCCCCCACCCCACAACGTGCCCCTATCACGTCAACTGCCCACCCTGGCCGTCCCCTTCTCTAGAAGTTGCCCATTTTCTCTCCTCCAAATCCCATACCTGTCTGAGGGAAGCCAGGATGGGAGAGGCTGGGAAAAGTGGGCAAAAACAGACTCATCTGTTATGTTTGTCCCTACTGTTTGCTGCTTTCCCTGAAAGTTTGCAGTGTTTTAGCTCTGTTGATTCCAGGGTATTAGAGAGACAAGAGGGATGAGATATTTTTTTACTGGACCACCTTCTCTTGGAGAAAGAAACAAGATCAGAAGCGTACATAGAACTCTTTTTCTTGAAGAAGAGCTCTCAGTAAGCTTAGAGGCTTATTTCTTACTAACGAAGTTGGTCCAATAAAATATATTATCTCACCCATCTTGTTGCTCTTT